CTCCTCCTCCTAGAAACCATCTGTGCCGTGCAACAACTCTCCAGCTGGAGAGCACCGGGTTCTGATGTGATCTCAGCTGAAATCTACAAGCCCTCATCTGATGGACCAGTTCACGTCGCTCTTCTAGAAGATATGGCGACAGGGACAAGTCCCCGAGGACTTCAAGGACTCAACCATCGTTCACCTCTATAGGCGTTAAGGGAACCGGCAAGTCTGCGACAATCTCAGAGGCACCTCGCTGCTCAACATCGCCGGGAAGATCCTCATCCGCCTTCTCTTCAATCGTCTCAACGGTCGTCTAGAGAAAGGACTTCTACTGGAAAGTTAGTGTTGATTCTGGCGACACCGCCCAACAACCGACATGATCTTTGCCGCCAGCCAGCTATAAGAGAAGTAGAATGGCATTGCCGACAAAGACAAGGAGGACTGGAATGACCATTTCTGGCTTATTAGCCGTCATCAGCCAGTCATACCCGACCCCAAAGTGTGGAGCACCCGAGGCTCGAACTCGCGACCTGTTAGTTAGAAGTCCACGCCTCTAACCACTGGGCCACGTGCCCGCTGCCCTGTCGGTTTCGATCGGGAATATACAATGGTAGGGGGCGCTCACCGATCATTCTTACAGAACTCACTCGTTCCGTTGTGCCTTACGGGCTCTCTCTCTCGAGCCCAACCAGCAGCCGCACAGCGGCGCATGATATAGGCTGAATGATATTACCGACAAAGACAAGGGAGACTGGAGTGGCCATTTCTGGCTTATTAGCCGTCGTCAGCCAGTCACACCCAACCCTGAAGTGTGACGGCAATGCCATTCTGTCTATATCATGCGCCGCTGTGCGGCTGCTGGTTGGGCTCGAGAAAGAGCCCGTAAGGCACAACGGAACGAGAGTGTTCCGTAAGAACGGTCGGTGAGCGTCCCCCACCATTATGAGAGAAGTGCCAGTAGATGCGAACTCACTTCAACACCACCTTCAAGGACCTGACGAATGCCTTGGACAGAGTGAATTGCGCAGGATCGTGGGAAATCATGAGGAAGTTCAGCTGCCCTGAGCGAATCACGCGCATGGTACGTTAGCCTCCCGATGGGATGATGGCGCGCGTCACGGACAACGGCGCAATCTCCGAGGCATCCACGGTGACCAGTTGAGTGAAGCAGGTCTGAGTACTCGCTCTCACCCTCTCCAGCCTCACGTTCATTGTTGATGGTCGCTTACCATGATGAGCGTCCTGGGATACGCATCGCTTACAGAACTAACGGACATCTTTTCAACAACAGGCACATGCAGACCTCTACGTGACCATATGCGACTACAGTCCACGACCTGTTCTCCACCGCGCTCAACACTACGACTGAGGTGGACATGCGACGGAGCATTGACCTCCTTGCCGCCGGGTGCGCCAACTCCGGCCTGACAGGCAACACAAACAAAACGGTCATCCAGAACACACCTCGAATCAATGTGGACGGCAACTAAATCAAAAGCGTAGACAATTTCACTTACCTAGAAAGCACGCTTTCCTGCAACACAAGAATGGACGACGAAATGGCGCACCGGATCTCCAAAGCCAGCCGAGACTTCGGTCGGCTGTAAAACCCCGTACGGAGTCGCCACGGCCTCGAACTGAATATTAAACTGAAGATGTACAAGACTGTCGTTATGAAAACATTCCCTACGGGCCGGAGACCCGGGCAGTCTACTCGAACCGTGCGAAGAAACTCAACCACTCCCATCTCAGATTCTTTCGCAGAATATTAAAGCTGAGATGGCAAGACAGGATCCTCAGGTCGGAAGTCCTAGAACGGATCGGAGTCCTCAACGCTAACGCCATGTTGAGGCAGCTGCAACTACGTTAGAACGGCCATCTCGTAACAACGCTTACATGGTGATGTTTTCACTGGTACTCGTCGATCAGGAGGAAAAAACGGCGCTAGAGGGACACTCTGAAGAACACTTTGAAACGACTGCAGACCAACCCGGAGACTTGGGAGGACCTCGCCGGCATGGCGAAAAGAAGTGGAGACAGCCGTCGCCGTTTGCGAAGCAAACTGGATCGTCGCTGCCAAAGCCAAAAGGGGAAACTCGCAAGTCACAAGTTCCTTACCTCTTCAAGGCCATAAATCAGCTGCTTCCAATATCCCCGCGCTGCCAACGCACATTCCGCGCGCGAATCGGCCTCGTAGGGCACCTTCGGAGGAAATATGCCGACAATCCAACAACGCCCATTTCTTCCCCCATTCTCTCCCTGCCGGAAACCCCGCAATGCCGACCACCCCAGTCCCCGATGATCACACTGCCATCGTCCCGCCGCCACCGTCCGCCCTGCGCCAACCCCTTCGTTGACCGCAGCGACCAGCTGCGCCAACACCATGACATCTCGCACTCCGCCCACCGATGGGACGACGTCCGACGTCCCATCATCAGCTAACATCACCGCCAGCACCCCCACCTCCAGCGATGTGGACTCGGTCCATGCCTGTCCAAATTGCGATCGCACATCCACCCCAGATATCGTCCTGACCGGTCACTTGTGAATCCATCGCACGGAGACTGGTGAACCAGTGCCTGAAGCACCCACATACACTCAACACATCCACCTTCACTGTCCGCCCTGCCCCCGCACATCCACTCACCGCATAGGTCTACTCGGTCACATGTGTATCCCCAATAGCGGGATCCATTGCAGTCTCAACACACTTAGGACATCTTTCCCACCCACCATGCCTAGCCCGATCAACACTCTTCGTCCAGCGCACCCACCACCAACAGCCCCACGAACATCACCATCACCACTGAAACCGACTCTGACGCCCCGACCTATTTTGTCCACACTGTTCCCGTACATTCACCTCACACATCGGTCTTGTCGGTCACTTGCGAATCCATCGCACGGAGACTGGCGAACCAGTGCCTGGAGCACCCACCTACATTAGATGCACTCACCTTATCTGCCCACACCTCGTCCGCACATTCATGCGTCGCATGGGCCTGTTAGGCCACATGCACCTCCACGAAAACTTGCGGTAGACAAACGTCGGCCATACCACACCATCACATCTTCCTCCACCGGCATCTGTGTTGTGAACGCGAAGGACACCATTGCCAATCCCACACTATGAATATCAGGACAGGACAGGAGTTATGGGAGAACTAATAATTAAATGTCAAACGACCTGATAGGCCGACACATGCCACGCGTGTCGCGTTGAGCCGATTTACTTCCATTCAGATAAGCTGTTCAAGAACGGTAAACAGGTAGGTACGTAGTACCCACCCCCCCCCCCCTCCGAGACCGTAGGGCGGCGAAGACGCCGAAGGATGTGTACAAGTCTAAAAGAAATTAGTGACCAACCGATCAGGAAAGTGAACGTAACGGCCACTACGAGTGGTAGATAGATATAGGGTCCGTAGAAGAGTGGATACGTCCTATGGCGGAAGTGTTGGAATTAGAGGTGACAGTTGGAGGTAGCGAACAGGGAGAAGGGGGGAAACACAGGACGGCGGACAAGAGGCTGGAGGAGGTGGGGGAGCAGAGGGTAGAGGAGCACAGGGCTCTTTCGACGGAAAGTCCGGGACAGATGCTTTGAGTCGGCCCACACTCACGACCTCCTCACGATTGGCGTGCTAAATGCTGAACATCTTCGTTTCTCGAGAGTGGACTCGGAATGGACCGTCATAGAGCGATTCCAGAGGCCGGCGGACTCGATAAAATTGAAGTTTGATTGGAGAGCATGTTGCCAAGTCCTTCTGGAGATGAGAAGGAAAGGCGGAGGACCTCGGTGGAGACGGAGAAAGTGTCCGCATAAACTGCCAGAGGTGGTGCAGGAGATTGGCGGGATCCTCAACTGCACCTCGTGGGATTGGCAAGATCATCTCACTGGGGAGTCGGACGGTGGCGCCAAACACCAGTTCAGCTGCGAGACACTCAAGGTCCGGCTTGAGAGCCAAGCGGATGCCCAAGAGGACCAGGGGAAGGTGATCCGTCCAGTTCTCCGGATCGGCCGCAGCGCGTAGGGAGGCCTTTAGCTGGTGGTGAAACCGCTCGACCATCCCGTTAGCAGCCGGGCGATAGGCCGTAATGCGGATGCGAGTACAGCCTAAAAAGGAGAGTAAAGACTGGAAAAGGTTAGATTAAAATCGGGGACAGCGGTCAGTCGTGATAGTGGACGGAGCACCGAAAATGTAACCCAACGACTGAGGAAGGACTTGGCCGCCGTTGGAGCAGAAATGTCAGGCAGGGGAATAGCTTCGGACCACCGGGTGAACCGTTCCACCCAGGTGAAGAGATGGGAACAGCCATTGGACAGAGGCAGGAAGCCTACACTGTCCAGGTGAACGTGGCTGAACCTTGTACCAGGGCCGGGGAAGGCGCCAATGGGGGCCTCGTTGTGCCGCTGGACCTTACTCCGTTGACAGCCGATACAAACCAGTGTCCATGCTTTGAGGTCCTTGTGCATCCCAGGCTAGACGAAGCGGTCGGAAACTAGCTTGTCGGTAGCTCGACTCTCAGGGTGAGATAGATTGTGTAGGAAGTAGAAAAATTTGCGGCGTAGTGATGGTGGCACAAAGGGGCGATGGGGTGGGGTTGATACGTGGCATAGAATGGCGCCGTTGCCAGTCAGTCAGGAAGTCCAAAAAATTCTAACCAATAGGAACGGCGAATACCAGGCGGTGTTTGCAGTCACACGGAAGTCTAGTTTAGATGCTGGAGTCGCCAGCTACATGGGGTCCTTTACCCTACTGTTATCAAATCGGTTAGGTCTAAACAACGCAGCATCACTTTCAGTGGCTTTTGCGTTTTAACTCTACTCGAAGGGGTTCCTTGCTAATCGGGAATGTTGGTCAATATATTTGGCGGACTTCCAAGCAATAAGAGGTGTTTCGTAAATGTAGACACACTTCATGATTTAACAAGTTCATTATACATAAACATCCAGTGGCAACAAGGAGGCGAAACCGTCTGTTCATAGTCGACATGCGTACGTTGGAAACTGGACACAGATTTTCTTAGGGTTTAACTCGCATTATAGTGTTCGTCAGTCTAAGGCCGAGAATTTCCGGAAGCCATATTCTACAGTAACTCGTACCTTCATCGGCGCATCGAACTAGACACTATGTGCAATAAATCTGAATGAAAGATGGAAACAACCCGAACGGAATGACAGCCCACAGTAATGTCTTATTAGAGGGGACAGCAGACGATTGTTGGTTTTTCAGGCCGAGACTGATGCCCGTGTGCTGGTAGAAAGTCGCCCGACGAAGTCGTCAGTTGCCTGCTGGAGTACGTCAGGTGTTCGGTATACATGCAGAAGGGCACCTGAGCATATGAAGATTGAATGTTATTACGGACAAAGACAAGGGAGACTAGAATAGCCATTTCTGGCTTATTAGCCGTCGTCAGCCAGTCATATCCAACCTCGAGGTGTGGAACACCCGAGGCTCGAACTCGCGACCTGTTAGTTAGAAGTCCAACACCTCTAACGATCGACGAGCGCCCATTTACCATGGTACATTCCCGATCGTAACCAACAGGACAACGAGCTCATGGCTCAGTGGTTAGAGGCGTTGGACTTCTAACTAACAGATCGCGGGATCGAGCCCTAGGTGTTCCACACTTCGGTGTTGGGTATGACTGGCTGACGACGGCTAATAAGTCAGAAATTCCCGTTCTAGTCTCCCTGGTATTTGTCGGCAATAACATTCTACCTATACCATGCGTCGCTGTGCGGCCGCCGGTAGGACTCGAGAGAGAGAGAGAGAGAAAGAGCCCGTAAGCCACAACGGGACGAGTGAGTTCCTTAACAACGATCGGTGAGCGTCCCCCCCCTCCCCCCCCCCCACTTATTTAATTACTGAGAGCCCTAAAATTAAGTGAACGGCCGGAGTTGCCGATATAGTAGACATGAGCGACGTCGCAGAAGTAGGTTCTTAGGAAGCACGCAGTCCGTCTGAGAAAGAGATTTCTATACGTGCAGGCGTACGGTGGTCCGTTCTCACCGTCGCCAGCGCGGCTGCTTATCTAGGCCGTCTTTCGTCAGCGCAACATGCTCGCCTATGACTCAGCACTTCCCTTGTTGACGCTGTAACGTCGATCGATCGTTTTTGCCCTCGTCGTCTGGTCGCAGCCGACCAGTTGTTGGTTAATGCCCTGATGAGCAGAGTTTACGCTCTCTAACGTCCCCCAGCTTTCGATGTGGGAAACCTCGAACGAACTTTGGCAGTTTCTTGCCCCTCCAACAAAGACGAAATCCAGTCCGGTGTTTGGCACAAAGTGCTAGAAAAATTTGTTGTGCAGGTAGCAGCTTAGAAAGACTCAGGACTGCTTCGCGAAAAGGGGTATCCCGGCAGGTTCATCACAGGGGATATTGCAGAACGGCCAGAAAAACCCACTACACTGGCTATCGAAAAAAACCCTGTTCATAGATGTTTTGGCAGATTTTGAATAATTCATATTGGTCCAACTGTGAAAAACTCGGCGCCTCGGTGGGATTCGAACTAACGCAGTAAGGGGATGGTTTTGGTACATATATGAATTACGTGAGTTTGGTGGTCATCTGGTGGATCCTAGGTGAATTACTTAGGAAATCCTTCCTGGGCAGTCAACTTACAGTATCAGATTTGGTGGATTACAGAAACTGAACTAGGTTGGGCGGGTAACCTGACCCAAATGTGATTAAGCTCGCGTCGTCTGGCGGGGCCTCGTAGCTCAAGTGGTTAGAGCGTTAGCTGTACTAAAGCCTTCCCCTTACTGCGTGGGTTCGAATTCCACCGAGGCGCCGAGTTTTTCACAGTTGGGTCAGTATGAAAACCCTGTTCCTCAAAGTCCCCTTTCAAGAGGACGCTGTGAACGAACTCCTAGAAAGACACCTTGGTCAAGATGTCTCACGAACCTTCCCAGCAGCGAGGGTTCGCATACTATTCTCTACTAACCCTATTTTATGCAAAGAAGGCAAGGGTAGGTTGCCGTCTCAGGCCACCTCAGTGTGCATCTACTCCTTCACTTGTTCCTGTGGAGAAATTTATATTGGCAGCAGCACGAGTCGGTGCTTCTCCAAAAGAATACGGGAACACCTCTCGGCATGGCTGAGAAAAGGTGAAACAAGAAGCACGAACAGCACCATTCTTGCACATGTTGTTTATTCGGAGTATCTTGTGGATCACGGCGAAGCTTTTTGTGTGATTTGTAGGGTCCCCTCGAGCTAGCCTAAGCTACCGGGCCAGTATCTGTTAGCACCAGCACAAACAGCTGCAATCAGATTACGAAAGCCGATCTTGTGTGCGCAGAAGAACCTCGTTCAGCTTCTGCGCTTACCGTAATCAAAGGTTAACTGATTACATGCAACTCTTCCAGCCCTTCCGCTCTCACCTCACCCTTGGCAT